GAAGGACAAAACAGTTGTATGCTGTAGCATCACTGACGAGTCCTAGAAGGACAAAACAGCTGTATGATGTAGCATCACTGACGAGTCGTAGAAGGTGAAAACGACTGTATGATGTATCAACACTGACGAGTTATAGAAGGACAAACAGTTGTATGATGTAACATCACTGACGAGTCCTAGAAGGACAAACAGCTGTATGATGTAGCATCACTGACGAGTCCTAGAAGGACAAAACTGCTGTATTGTGCAGCATCACTGACGAGTCCTAGAAGGACAAAACTGCTGTATTGTGTAGCATCACTGACGAGTCCTAGAAGGACAAAACAGCTGTATGATGTAGCATCACTGACGAGTCCTAGATGGACAAAACAGCCGTATGATGCAGTTTAATTCATTGTTTGACTCTATTCTAAATTCGTATTAAAATTGTTTTGCCTGTGTCTTTTGTATAGCTTTAAATAGTTTGATAATTGCTCCTTAGAAGAAAATGGACGTAATTATTCACATATAACAATACTTTTTTAAGATTATTTTCCCCAATCATAATAAGTTGCTGTTTAACCATCATTCAAGTGTACATACCATCATATGTACCGTAAGTAGAGGATTTAGTATGACTACTGCAATGAGTAGGGTCTGTCAAATTGCTCAGGAGTTATCAAGTGTTTTTCAAAATAACAAATTAAAGTTTTGTTCAATGACTATTAGTAAAATGCTATGAAACTGTGGACACGATTACTTAAAGGTAGATTCAACACACCACAAATTCATTCCAAATCCTATGTTTTATCACGTCCATTTTGAAACAATACGATTTTAACAAACGGACATTTGATGTTTAACAGACAGTTAAATAATTTTTTTATGAATGAATTTAGTACTCGCGTATTTAACGAGTTAAGTGTCCTATGGTGTTAAACAATAACACAATTAATGTAGAACATTTACAACGGGTACAATAGTCTATGTCTGTTTAACATAGTCCTCTTTTGTTTTACAGCACGTGTTCAACGATCTGTAACATAGGAGTTCAATCGTACTGTAGTTAATTAACCACCCTGAGTTAAAAAAAAAAGAAAGAAAAAATAACATTGTTACGTTTATCAAAGTAAAAGTGATAAAGACATACACACTTGTTCGTGTGTTTCAACAGGACAAAACTCATTTATCGGCCAGGTTGCACATGCTTTATCGCTTTCAAAACTGGACAGATCTGTTGTAAAGCTGAAACCCCTGCTAAAACCTCTTTTATATCTCGTATACAATCTCTACGGGTCGTGCTTTAAAATACCCGTATTGTAGTAGATCAGGGCAAATTGTGACGATTTTAAATTAGTGGGTACGTATGGGTCACATTGACGTCACATGATCAACGAATGATACGAATATTTAATTTTTGGTCAATATTCTGTCGGCTTGTTTTGGGATTCCTTTGGAGCAGATATGGAAGTTAAACGCCATTATTATCAGGTAGATTGTCTGAGAATTTATTCTTTTTTTTTTCTATTTCATTTTTGTTTTTTAGAAGATTCTGTAAAAAAATTGTATCCCTGTACAAAGTATATATACCTGTATGTTAGTCATGTGTTGATTTCTCACTTAGACATATATATTGATAATACGGGGAATGTATGTGTTTGTATGGTATAAGTTATTGACATACTGAAAACATCTCAGAATCTTAATATATAAATGTCGTTGCAAATTATGTAAACGTAATTTAAGGATACTTTCATCCCTTTAGAAGTCTTTTTTTATAATAAACCATCCTGGTGTTAGTATGGTATTGTATAGACTCTATAAGATTTTGTGATTTTGTGCTATGTGAGAGGAGGGTAAGTATATGTTGTCAATTTAAGTGTGTCTTGATCATCAAAATGTTTGTTAAGAGTAGAACAGGAAGCACGTGTATGTATGATTTGTTAAAATACGTATGTGCACGTAACTTTAAAGTTTTGTGAAAAAATGTTATACTTATCTTGAGTGAGAAACAAACTTTTGAGAGGGCTATTGAATACGAATACACTACATAATACCCGATAAACATGTCAGGTATAAGTCAGAAGTAAGTATAAACATATGTCAGGTGTAAGTATAAACATATGTCAGGTGTAAGTATAAACATGTGTCAGGTATAAGTATAAACATATGACAGGTATAAGTATAAACATATATCAGGTGTAAGTATAAACATAAGTCAGGTGTAAGTATGACAGGTGTAAGTATAAACATAAGTCAGGTGTAAGTATGACAGGTGTAAGTATAAACATATGTCAGGTGTAAGTATAAACATGTGTCAGGTATAAGTATAAACATATGACAGGTATAAGTATAAACATATATCAGGTGTAAGTATAAACATAATAGGTGTATCAGGTGTAAGTATAAACATAACATAAGTATCAGGTGTAAGTATAAACATATGTCAGGTGTAAGTATGACAGGTGTAAGTATAAACATAAGTCAGGTGTAAGTATGACAGGTGTAAGTATAAACATATGTCAGGTGTAAGTATAAACATATATCAGGTGTAAGTATAAACATAAGTCAGGTGTAAGTATAAACATATGTCAGGTGTAAGTATAAACATATGTCAGGTGTAAGTATAAACATAAGTCAGGTGTAAGTATGACAGGTGTAAGTATAAACATATGTCAGGTGTAAGTATAAACATATGTCAGGTGTAAGTATAAACATATGTCAGGTGTAAGTATAAACATATGTCAGGTGTAAGTATAAACATATGTCAGGTGTAAGTATAAACATATGTCAGGTGTAAGTATAAACATATGTCAGGTGTAAGTATAAACATATGTCAGGTATAAGTATAAACATATGTCAGGTATAAGTATAAACATATGTCAGGTATAAGTATGTCAGGAGTAAGTATAAACATGTGTCAGGTGTAAGTATAAACATATGTCAGGTGTAAGTATAAACATATGTCAGGTGTAAGTATAAACATATGTCAGGTGTAGGTATGTCAGGTGTAAGTATAAACATATGTCAGGTGTAAGTATAAACATATGTCAGGTCAGGAGTAAGTATAAACATATGTAAACATATGTCATAAGTATAAACATATGTCAGTTGTAATTATAAACATGTGTCATGTGTAAGTATAAACATGTGTCAGGTGTAAGTATAAACATATGTCAGGTGTAAGTATAAACATATGTCAGGTGTAAGTATAAACATATGTCAGGTGTAGGTATGTCAGGTGTAAGTATAAACATATGTCAGGAGTAAGTATAAACATATGTCAGGTGTAAGTATAAACATATGTCAGGTGTAAGTATTAACATATGTCAGGTGTAAGTATAAACATATGTCAGGTATAAGTATAAACATATGTCAGGTGTAAGTATAAACATATGTCAGGAGTAAGTATAAACATGTGTCAGGTGTAAGTATAAACATATGTCAGGTATAAGTATAAACATATGTCAGGTGTAAGTATAAACATATGTCAGGTGTAAGTATAAACATATGTCAGGTATAAGTATAAACATATGTCAGGTGTAAGTATAAACATATGTCAGGTGTAAGTATAAACATATGTCAGGTGTAAGTATAAACATATGTCAGGTGTAAGTATGACAGGTGTAAGTATAAACATATGTCAGGTATAAGTATAAACATATGTCAGGTATAAGTATGTCAGGAGTAAGTATAAACATGTGTCAGGTGTAAGTATAAACATATGTCAGGTGTAAGTATAAACATATGTCAGGTGTAAGTATAAACATATGTTAACTATAAGTATAAACATGTGTCAGGTGTAAGTATAAACATATGTCAGGTGTAAGTATAAACATATGTCAGGTATAAGTATAAACATATGTCAGGTGTAAGTATAAACATATGTCAGGTATAAGTATAAACATATATCAGGTGTAAGTATTAACATATATCAGGTATAAACATACGTCAACTGTCAGTATAAACCTATGTCAGGTGTAAGTATAAACATGTGTCAGGTGTCAGTATAAAGATGTGTCAGGTGTAAGTATAAACATATGTCAACTGTAAGTATGACATGTGTAAGTATAAACATATGTATTAACATATATCAGGTGTAAGTATAAACATATGTATAAACATATGACAGGTGTAAGTATAAACATATGTCAGGTGTAAGTATAAACATATGTCAGGTATAAACATAAGTCAGGTGTAAGTATAAACATATGTCAGGAGTAAGTATAAATAAACATATGTCTGGTGTAAGTATAAACATATGTCTGGTGTAAGTATAAACATATGTCAGGTGTAAGTATAAACATATGTCAGGTATAAACATAAGTCAGGTGTAAATATAAACATATGTCAGGTGTAAGAATGTCAGGAGTAAGTATAAACATATGTCAGGTGTAAGTAAAAGTCAGGATTCGCTTCAAATAATATCATCAAGGACAGGGGCAGGTTATCTAGACTAAGTTTCATATCAGAAGTGTCCAATTACAGATGACTAGATTGATAACAATTGTATTTTTATGAATATGATCTTTAATTTTGGTATCGTGTGAAATTAATGTATTTGCTAAAAATCATTGTTTAATATTCTGTTAATTACATTGTTATCTTTGTGATAGCGTATCATGGTACCTAGTTTACAAGATTGAGTTTTCTGTTTTTATTGGAAGAAACTCCCAAAGTATTATTTTTCACCGATAACAACAAAAGAATTAAAAATGATTTCACCGAAAAATTTCTTTTTATCATTAATATAGCTCTATATTTTACTGTTGAAATTACATTTTTCGTAATATCTGCTTTGTAAACTGTTGTCAGATCTCTTTTCTAAGTAATGTTCTATAAGTTTACCTTTTCTTTTCTCACATTTTAGTTACCTGACTGGTGGATCTAGATTCCTTCTGGAGTGACCATTTGTTACGGCAATGCGGTCAGATTGTTCAGACAAGCGGGATGTCACAGACGCTGATGAAAGTGATCAGTCAGCTCAACATTAATAAGACAGATAGAATATCTGGGTGACCATGAAGAAGTCCGTTGTCCGTGTACGGTTTTGTTGTAAGTGGATGTATTTGGCTATGCTTATTTTGCTAGCCATCTTGATTGGTCTCGAACTCCATGTATACGCGGAACTAAGGGCAAAAACTCTAGTACACAAATCGGGACGAGGCCGACGCCACAGAGAGATTGTTCGGACGAGTCATCGTTTAAAACGAAGAACTTTCGTATCAAAGGAATTGGAAAAAGAATTTGCCACTGGTGGAAATAAGGACAAGAAGACGAAGAAAAGGTTATTTCGTTCACGTCAAAGAGTGGAAGAAACCATTGAATTAATCCAAGATAGGATGAAAAATGGAAAAGGAGATTCCATTTATTGTGATGGAAATTTAGAAGTGTTTAATCTGGACATGGTCTACATGAAAAATGTGCTTGTAGATGCACGTCAACAGAAGAGTAAACCAAATGGAGGCGAAGATGTAAAAGAGGTTATGGGTCAGTCTGAAAGTGTGGAAGAAGTTACATTAAAACCGGGATTTTTCCGAATTCCTTGTGCATCAACACCGTTACTGAAATTTTCCACGAAGTCATATTTTTCGAAGTGGTACCTTACAGTTTCCGAAAGAGAAACTGAAATCCCTCCAAAATCCACCCATATATCTAATTTTACCGTTTTAATCAAAAGAGGAGACTACGCCAATATGTACTGGACGTTAATAGAATTATACAACACCTATCTGTCTATACGCTTATTCGGCAAAGATCCAAAAGAAACTACTGTCGTTTTTGTTGACGCACATCCATTAGGGAAGCTAGAAGATCTCTGGACTCTATTGTTCGGAAAAGTTATTCGAGTACGGAGCATGCGCGGTGATATATTTATAAAAGAAGTTGTCTGGGTGATTCCTTTATCAGCTTCGCCGATTGGCCAAGCCATTCAAAGTCTTCCCTTTCTACGTGATTTTAAAAGTGCACTTTATAAAGCTGCTGGGATTGATTCTATTGTTCCTGTATGTGATAAAGGAATTAGCAACACTATTATTACACTAATTCTAAGACACGATTACGTTGCACACCCACGAAACCCATCAGGGACTATTAAAAGGAAAATACAAAATGAGAAAGAGCTTATTAAACACTTAGATACAAAGTTTCCAGGAGGCCGTTTAAATGCTGTTCAATTGGATAAATTCTCTATCAAGGATCAAATTCTAATTATATACAACACTTCAGTTTTGATAGGAGTGCACGGTGCTGGTTTGGCGTACACTCTGCTTTTGCGTCCGGGTGCTACCATGCTTGAAATGTTTCCAGCGAGCTACAAAAAAATGCCGAACAATCATTTTCAACAGTTTGCGGAGTGGGGAGGGAGTTGGTATGAAAGGTGGTTCAGTAAGGATAAATCACGCTCGAATAACGAGTGGATTAAAATTCCAGTGGAAGTGCCTGAAAATATCATTCATCAATCCCTAAATCAGATGTGCAATATGACATCGCCATAACTTAATGATATCCTAACACCGGACTGATTTCCTTCACTTCATTGTCGATTTGATAAATATCTATGAGAGAAATAAAACAGCCTTATTTTAGTTTTATCATTATCAGCATACAGTTGTCATTATCGTCATGATGACTTTTTATTTCAGTGGTAAATAGTGTCGACTTGTGGTAAATAATAATTAGTTACTATCAAAATGATACAGTGCACAACACCAACGGTGCCAGATTCTAGAACGGATTTTATTTTTTGGTTAAAAAGATAAGGAAAAGAATTTAAGCGTGAAATATGTCACATTGTGTAACATTGGATACGCCAAATTAACACTATAGCAGACCAGGCTGGGTAGAAAACTATAAGATAATAACGACAAGTTAACCATGTCGTAATAGGACCTAAAAAAACAAAAAAACAAGCAGATTTACACTGAGATCCTGTAAAAAGTACCATAAGACCATGTGTTCTGAAGGAATAAACTATATAACTTTTATAACGACCACCAGCAGGCACACTAACTAGTATCACACACGTAAAACTATCCTCTATTCTAAACTATATAACTTTTATCAAGGATCCAGCACTTATCTTTAGAATGATATCTTACTTCAGATTAATTAAGAGGTCACAAGTGGTAATTAGCAATAAAATGGCATGACCTCCAGACCATCCATTTACACATCAAACTAGTGAAGAAGGATGGGAATGACTTGAAATCTAAAACCAGATATCCTCATTTAAAGATTTTAAATCTCCATATCTAGATTCATCAGTCATATTGATTAAATGGAAACTTTTCGCATTTCTTATTGTTTATTTTGAACTGATTTGATTTTTTCATGTTATTTTCATTTACTTACTGAATAGAGAAGACTTTTAGTATGTTGATTTCCTTTTTTACGTTTTGATTGTTAAAATTTTGAAATAAAATAGAATAATAAAATGTTTCATTACCGAGTACCTAACACTCCTTTAACACCAAATGATTTTTAAAGCTTCAAGCAATGAGAGAATGCGCCCACGAACATTTATGGTGGCTGATTCGGGATATCGTAATATCGCTTCGTTTAATGGGAAGCGAGATTGCGATATCACGATACCATGATAGCAAGAAACGATAACACGATAGCGCGATGCGAGACCACGATAGCGCATCGTGGTATCGTGATAGCGCATCGTGGTATCGCATCGTGGTGTCGTGGTATCGCAATCTCGCTTCCCATTAAACGAAGCGATATTACGATGTCCCGAATCAGCCACCATACATTTCATATAATATCGATGTTTTGACCTGATTTCAATCATAACTATACGGTGAACGTTTTGTCCAACGAAATGTGATCATGTGATACCGTCCAACGTCCTGTCACTAGTGTGATCATGTGATACCGTCCAACGTCCTGTCACTAGTTTGATCATGTGATACTGTCCAACATCCTGTCACTAGTTTGATCATGTGATACTGTCCAACATCCTGTCACTAGTGTGATCATGTGATACCGTCCAACATCCTGTCACTAGTTTGATCATGTGATACCGTCCAACATCCTGTTACTAGTTTGATCATGTGATACTGTCCAACGTCTTGTCACTAGTGTGATCATGTGATACCGTCCAACATCCTGTCACTAGTTTGATCATGTGATACTGCCCAACGTCTTGTCACTAGTGTAATCATGTGATACCGTCCAACATCCTGTCACTATTGTGATCATGTGATACCGTCCAACATCCTGTTACTTGTTTGATCATGTGATACAATGTCTATCACGAGGGATAACGGTTATAAGACAAAATGTGTTATTTTTTTCTTGTACGTATGAATGTTTACGATATGTATATATCCGCCTCCATTTTTAAGAAGCTATTTATTTTCCGCTGAAACAGAAAAATTGCCAAATAAGTACGATTTCGTCTGATTGTGTTCTCCATTATTTCTAATATGGGTTATAAAAAAAGAGGGTATTCCTCATCGCGTTGTAGAATGAGTAAGAATGAATGGTTTAATATATTTGTCAATGTACATTACACGTACATAGCGAAGCGGGATAGTGAGCTACATATAAATTGTCTTTCTGTACAGATCAAAGTTCTGGTAGCATTTGGTTTTAGTTGGTAAACATACATTATACTCTCATTGTCACATAGCAGTGATAAGTGCTCTGTCCATTCATCAAAAGACTGAAGTTTGATACCCTACTAGAATGTGAAACGGTATCGGGTCACATGACTGACCACATTTTCTCCGGGTGTTCCTGCTACACAAAGACTTCTACACGGGCCAAAAGTTGTTACATCAATATAGAAGGGTGTCTGGTATAAATCAGACATCTCCATTGTCTTTAACTGTATCTCTGATAACATACAAAGATTATCATACCACAAAGATTCTGGTCGCGGTATACTTGTCACACATCTGACAAGTACTGTCCCGACCTAATCTGAGATACTATACAAAAAGCAAGCCAATGTTCGCCTGCCATTTTCCGTTGAAATGCTGCAAAACGCGAAGCACTACAAAAGTCATGTTGGATCTCGAGAATTTATCATTAAGATCCATTTCTAGTGGTATTAACACTACTAAAAGGACTAGCCAGACAGTTATAAAAGCACCGCAGACATGTGGTGAGAGCTACATGTATATCCAAACCAAAGGTGCGACCAACTGTGGTATGTTGGTCGCTACTCCGGAAGAGGTGTCTAGATCCGATCTCCATTGACAATGTCCTGTTGAAATATGAGCAGCAATGGTTGATCCTGGCGACCCAACCATATATTCTGTCAAAATTATACCGATTTGGACACAAAATGCAGAATCTTGGCGAAAATTCCCCAACCTAACATCTGCTAAATCGGTCATGAAGCTATTGTCTGGAATGACTCAATTGGTTTATATATACATGACCCACCGCATATTGGTCATTTCTACAGATATGTTATCAATTCGAAATCAATCCATAATATATATAATTCAAACATTTTTTTTTGATAAATGAGTAAATAGTCTGTTGCTCTTCTACTCGGGAAATTTATCACAAATTATTATTTCTGTGATACCTGTCAAAAAGAAAAAACAAACCCATTGAAAAAAAAAGAAGGAAATTCGTCACCTACAATCATTTTACAAAGAGGACAGATTATAACTTCCCTTGGATTACCTGTCCATCGCCCTGTTTCAATAGGAAAATTAAAGTAAGATGTTCTGAATCTAGCAATTATATCTCTATCTTATTCCAAAGCCTCTTTAAATATTCTTCTCGTCCAAAATTATCCTTGAAATTTAAATAAGGATTCCGTCTAGATGAGATTGATATGCAATTATACCATTTTTTAATTTATTAATCACGTAACCTTGATGTCACTACCTTTTTCATTGATGATTTGTTTATGTTTCTTGAAAAAAAACCCATAAAAAGTTCCTTTCTCAATTTCCTAATAATTTTGTCATTTTTCCCAACCATTTAAAAGCTGCATGTAGTACTCTGCATTATTTTTTGTAAATTGTTTCTGTAAGCAAAAAACAACAGCGTGTCGCATATCAACAAATTGCTGTTTAAAGGCAAATTGATAAAGTGGGGACACATTTAAGCAAAAGGACAATTTACACGGAAACTCCGTTAAAAAGGAGAAGGAGGTGTTGGGTGTTTACAGAACGAGAAGCCTTTGTGTTCCGTAAGGTTAAGTGTCTTTTACCGGCCATGTCAATCCAAATAATGTCAGGCTATCAAAATGGGAAACGTATTAAGAACAACGTAATCGCAAGGTATTTAAACTACGGTGATTGAAAGCACACAACCCGATGTTATAATATAATACCTGATGATATCTTATGTCATTGACTCTGTCTAGCTGTCTAGCTGAAACAAGTCCTACCGTCACATAGTTCTACCTAAATAAATAAATAAATATAGACATGTGCAGGAACTTATTAGGATTCCTAAACCTAAAAAATAAACAATTAAATAAAAAGGGCCAACGTTTTATATGGATTTGTGTGCATTTCTAAAAGTACGTTATCCAGATCAGGCGTTATTACTGACAGGAAAAATAACGTCATCCAGATCAGGCGTTATTACTGACAGAAAAAATAACGTTACCCAGATCAGGTGTTATTACTGACAGAAAAAATAACGTTATCCAGATCAGGTGTTATTACTGACAGAAAAAATAACGTTATCCAGATCAGGTGTTATTACTGACAGAAAAAATAACGTTATCCAGATCAGGCGTTATTACTGACAGAAAAAATAACGTTATCCAGATCAGGCGTTATTACTGACAGAAAAAAATAACGTTATCCAGATCAGGCGTTATTACTGACAGAAAAAAATAACGTTACCCAGATCAGGTGTTATTACTGACAGAAAAAATAACGTTATCCAGATCAGGTGTTATTACTGACAGAAAAAATAACGTTACCCAGATCAGATGTTATTACTGACAGGAAAAATAACGTTATCCAGATCAGGTGTTATTACTGACAGAAAAAATAACGTTATCCAGATCAGGTGTTATTACTGACAGGAAAAATAACGTTATCCAGATCAGGCGTTACTACTGACAGGAAAAATAACGTTATCCAGATCAGGCGTTACTACTGACAGGAAAAAGAACGTTATCCAGATCAGGCGTTACTACTGACAGGAAAAAGAACGTTATCCAGACCAGAGAATAACATGTTTGTAACTTGAGAAATAACGACAAGACGACCTTACTCAAAATAAAAAATTCTTCATGTCGCCCATTTGGTTTTGTTTGTGGGAGTGTATAATGGAAGATGAGGTTGTGTGTGATTGTTTTATTTGTGTCAGTCGAAAATCCAACATGGTCGTCTATCAAGAAATAAGACGGGTCATTTTTACCATCGACTGAGCACTTTCTTTAATGATAACAAAAAGGTGACGTTTTGTAATTAGATTATTGAATGATTAAAAAAATATGCTTTGGATACCTGCAGGATCCGATTAAAGCTCTGGACAGAGAAAAGGGCGTGGTCAGTCGGTTCTTCATATCATAAATCAATGAGTATGGGACTGTAACATGTTGAAAATTACACCATTTTGGGTTCCGAAATCACAGTGCAGTTTTATAATGACATAAGGGATACACGGGACACACATGATGAATTAATCAGGGAGGTGGATAGACTCTGAGTGGATAGATTTTACTGACCAGGTCTGTGCACAAGATCTGGCTATAATATGTATAAATTAATCCCATATATATCATGAAGGACCTTACTAAGGACGGAGAGATGAATCGGTCTTATCATGGATGTATATACTTTATAAAATAAAAAAAGAATATTTTTGGTTCAATTGCTACAGACTATTAGTCTGTACGAGTCCATTTGACCACTTTACTTAACATCGCTTGACCACCATAAGCCAGAAATCTATATATTTTAATACCTACATGGACCTACCTGCTGTACTACATTTTATTAATTTCTTAATAGAAACACGTTAGTTTCCATAATGTTTACTTCTACCGTAGTGGAGATTTTCACTACGTATCCGTAAATCCGAAACTTGCTTTACTGACAGCACACTGGCCGTTCAACGTCGACCGAACAAAACAGAAGAAACTTTGTTTATGAACAACAATGTTTCAGGTACAATGTAACTACTTCTAGAATAGCTGTTTTATTCCCATAGAAAAATATAAAAGTTTTAACACAGTTTAAGTGCAACTTGAAGTAAAACATAAGACTGGATTTCAACATACACCCAAGTCTAATTTGTGTTTAGACATTCATTTTCTTTAGAAGCGTCATTTTAGCCCTGAGTTGTACTATTTTGTTAACAACTAGTTGTCAGTCAACAGGCCCTGTATCAACATCAAATGGCGTGTCCACATCGATGACACCAGAGTCGGCGATGACAACATCAGAGTATGGCTTATCACGATCTTCTACATCAACAGCAAGGTTTTCAATCTGTCGCACTACACTCATACCCTCCAACACCTTTGCGAAAACCACGTGCTTTCCGTCCAACCATGAAGTGGATTTACATGTGATAAAAAATTGGGATCCATTTGTATCAACACCTGAAACACAATAACATAGAATGTCAACGGTTTTATACTGAAAATGGAAGGATGTTCGCCCAGATAATCAGATAGTGGTAATATCAATGCGATGATCCAATGTGATGTCCCGCCTTATATTTTAAAGACAAACCAACAGAAGGACAGATACTGTACCTGCGTTAGCCATGCTGACCCATCCAGCTCCATAATGAGCAAGCTTGAAGTTCTCATTCGCAAAGTATTTCCCATAAATACTTTTACTTCCTGTTCCGTCGCCTGCGGAGAAATCTCCGCCTGAGTTCGAGAAAAAAAGGAATTAAAACAAAGAATAAAAATTAAGAGCTGCAGCTGTAACCTTTATCAGTGTTAATTTTATTCGTATGTTTATTGTGACAAAATAAAAAAAGTATGTGCAATTAATTTACACAACTAGCAAGCATTTTTTGTTGTTTTTATATACAGTCCTGTACAGGCGCCGTACCCGGTATATCTTATATGAAAAGGAAGAACAGATGTTGACTGTAATTAGCTTCGGGAAACTGTTTCTTACTTATTGGCACCAAATCATTGAAGTAGAAAGCGTGACGTTACATGACATCAGGAGATAGCACATACCTTGGATCATGAAATCCTTGATGACACGGTGGAACTTGCTACCTTTATAGCCGTAACCATTAGCGTGGGTAGCCAGCTGGACGAAGTTCTCGGCGGTCAAGGGAACCGCCTCTCCAAATACACCAAATATGATCCGTCCACTTTCTTCGCCATCAATGGTTATGTCGAAATAAACTTTGTTGGTGACAGTCAAATCACCACCCTATATAACGGGAAACACAGAGGTATAGAACAATCCGGAACCACCGAAGCATGCAATCATCAGCTTCACCTAATTATATATGTTCGTTTCATTCTGTCTATCAAACGATTTGAGAAATACGAAATATTAATAAACTATCTCGGTTGTCGCAATTTTAATTTACTAACATTACTGGAAATTATCTCATATTGCGCGAAGTGGCCCATCAATACACGGGACCCTTAATAGTAGAATACAACTTGGTGATGGTGGTATGATGTAAATATATAGAGCAGACGAGAAGTTTACCAGCACAGGGGCCAGAGAGATGACCGTCCTCCCATGGTATTGACCGGGCAATACAACAACAGTATACACATAAATACGAGCTTTCTCTGTAAAAAAAAAGAGAGGGATACCAGATGTTACGAGGGTTGAAATAAAAAAAATAGAATTATCTCCCCTTACAAAGATGCGACTAAGTTCGTGTGTCTGTGTTGTAAATTAGTAATAAATTGTCTACATGCGTAATTAGTTAGGATGTGATATCTACATTGACGTCAGTAAGTTAAATGTAATATGTAAGTGGAACAAAATTACATTAACGTCTACACAGAAATGTACACGAAACTATCGTTTTAAACAAACACATTGTTCTAACTCACCTGTACAGCTAAAACATTGCTACTATCTTTATCATACAACTTCCTGTAGGTAACTCTTGTGAGTTTATGATTGGATGAAGACTCCCGTTGGTTAAATTTTCCATTGTGACATCATAACTTTATGACGTCATATTATTCTGACGTCACCAAACAGAGATTTGAAGTTAACATATCGCCAATGTAGATTATATACCAATCAAATGAAATGCATTTGTATGAAACATTTTCAAAAGTATCCAAATCAGAACAGAATCTTACATTTGTTTTCATAATATACTAATGAAAATAGAGACTCGGTAAATTAACAATATAGGATAGAAACCCATGTAAGATCCTTAATGTATAACCACACCTCACAACCCGAGAGCTGAGAGGATCTCTGTTGTATCATATTTATTCATACATGTTTATCCAATAATTTATTTCTTACATCGAGATACTGATTGATTAACTCGTAAATTATTATGACGTAATCGTTCTCATTTTGACGGCGTTGCAGTTCCAAGAACTTCGAAGTGTGATTTTAGAACAGAGAGGTAAATATGATTAAATCCTCTGTGAAACAAGCATTTTCATTGGCCAATTGGTACTCTTGACATTGGTAGATACTACCATTCTGTGTACCCAACAGTATATAAACATGGATGTATAAATCTGTGTTAAACAATTCAATACAATTCAATAAGGACTTATATATTTTTAACCAATATAAGTAATCACGTGTACATTACTGTTACAAAATTATATTTATCACCTAACTACCTGATTATCAGTGTAACACCACAGGCTGGCTGAAAGTACCGTTTGATTCGACTGTGACATCACTTCCTGACGACATGGACATTGTAACGTCAAGAATTGAGACATCGAGTTACGATATCATCGACTTAGATTCCGCATCCGATTAATGCAATGCTATTTTAACAGACGCATGTGAGATTATAAAAGTTTTAAATTAATGAATAAACCTTTATACAACAATAGCGAAACAAGTTTTTCACCCGAGGCGCGCATAAGCTTTCACTTTGGAAGGAAACCGCAGTACCCAGTGAAACCCCACGTGCTCAGGCAGGTAACCCCTATCTTTTTGCGTCCATTCAGGGAATCGAACCCCGGACGGCTAGGTGAAAGGTAAAAGTTATAAAAGTTCAACAGAATCTCACATTGTTTCCATTTCCAACGATTCGACATTAATGAGACGAGTCTCTGAAATTTTCATTTGACCGAGCCTCTGGTCAGGCCCTCGATGTAGAACAAGTATCAAACTGTTATCATCTTAATGGCCCTTCCTGAACGAGCTGTTGTGATATCGTAGTGTTATATAATCTTCGCTCGTAACCATGGCGGCACATCGACTGACACTGCTCGAGTGTCAGAAACACTCCGTGATGTCCATGCCTGAAGTACTGAAGTCCGACACCCCCTCCCCTGCTGCTAAATCAGCTGATTCGCCACATCTGATGTGGTACAAATCCATGACCACCAGTTGACTATTTACAAAAGAATGAACAAATATTTCTGGTTTGTATTTTTTTTAAAAGCATTAACTTTGTTTTGTATAAGACTGTGTATGAGCATTAAGTGATTCCATGAATGGTCACTTATAACCTCCGGCATGTTTACAAAGTTTAACCCTCAAATAAGTTTGTGTATTGTGCTTGTAAGCCCCGAATACAGCAACATGTGGCACTTCCGCCCTCTCCTGCTATCCCTCTTATCCCCCTCCCCAACCCATCTTGACACGTTTCAACGCTGTTTACAAACCGAGAAAAACGATGTAAATAGATATGAAGAACATCATACTTTTGTTAATCTATAAAAAAAAATAGTCTGAAGTTCTGTTATACAGAAATAACTCTGTATTGCACCTTTCTTATAGATGGTGATAATTCGTACTACACGCGCGTCGTCTTTATAAATTAGTACAAAACGAATTCCCCAAGCACTTAATGCTGATACGAAATCTTCCAAATCTTTGCTTGATTAAATATGTGTATATGTAAGAGTAAGAAAAATTACCTGTACAAACTTTAGCAGGGATAATCCAACGACGATGAGCATGTGTGACACGTCCATGGTTTTCTTGAAATTATGATGCTATCAGCCTCTACAACGCCACGTAGCATGTGTACCAAAAAGTAGAGTCTTACCGCTAGGGGAAGTCGTAAACATGGTTACGGTGAGGGGGGTAGATTTACAAAGGGGCCCCACAAACAGGGCAATCAGTCAATTCTAACGTCTTGGTTTTTGCTGACTTTCCACTTTCCATTGGTTCCATGTACAATCGTATTAGTTAAACATATTCATTTAAAAAATATTTTCTTGTTCCAAAAAAAGTTTTAAAATCTCGCAGTTATTTTTAAATTCAGCTTCGTTAACACTTCAGTTGACATCCGGAAATCAACGAGTGCATAGCATTTAACAATGTTGCTGAATTGAAAACAGAGAAAAAGTAATTTATTCATAGAAAAATGTTGATACAGAACTTGATAAAATCAAATTATATATCTCATTTAGTAAATAATATTATTTATTTTAAATCCATCAATTTTAATGAATTTCTAAACGAGATATCTCATTTCTAAATTTAGTGTTTTATTTACTAAAATAAATATCTTAGTAAATAAGATATTACTAATTATTGAATAAATATCTAAGTATTTTTAATAAATATTCGCTTTATATCTATTCTTTTTAGAAAAGACATCTTATCCAGAAAATTGCATTATCTACCTTATTTAAAAGATTTGATATCTGATCAACTACATAAGATGTCTTTTATTATGTAAGATCTAGTTTAGTAAACAATATATCGTGTGCATAAAATTGAATTAGATATCTGATATCAGAAATAAGCAATCATCAAATTGAATCAGATATCTGACATCAGAAATAAGCGATCATCAAATTTAATTAGATATCTGATATCAGAAATAAGCAATCATCAAATTGAATTAGATATCTGATATCAGAAATAAGCAATCATCAAATTGAATTAGATATCTGATATCAGAAATAAGCAATCATCATATTGAATTAGAATATATCAGAAATAAGCAATCATCAAATTGAATTAGATATCTGATATCAGAAATAAGCAATCATCAAATTGAATTAGATATCTGATATCAGAAATAAGCAATCATCAAATTGAATTAGATATCTGATATCAGAAATAAGCAATCATCAAATTGAATTAGATATCTGATATCAGAAATAAGCGATCATCAAATTGAATTAGATATCTGATATCAGAAATAAGCAATCATCAAATTGAATTAGATATCTGATATCAGAAATAAGCAATCTCAGTACGTATCTAAAAGAAATAAATTATCTAATAAAAGAACGAGATTATCGTGAGACCGACATGAAAAGAAAGCTTTGTAGAAATAGATGATCCCGTTCTTACGTCTTCACTCGTCTTCATTATGCGGGGTTTTAAGTGGAAATTCGAAATAAAAAGCAGCGATAAAAAATGGTGGCGATGAGGACGGCAGCCACCATCAACGGACTGTCCTGTCCGTTATATGCATCAAATACAATGATACTGTATATGAAAGAATAATGGGTCTATTATCGTCCGCCATTTTCGATCGGATCCTCTTGCACGTGCAATGACTTTCCGAGTGTTAAGGGATGGTTTATTAGCTTAAATTAAGATCTTGTTCTTATCGTCAACAAATTAAATATCTTATTTAAATTTGCTGATACGGTACTTATGATAAAAGTTTCTTTAAGAGATGTCTCATTTGGGTAAATAATTTGTATGAAACCACTCAAATATTATGTACACATCGGTTCCTGTCCGCCATATTTCGGTGCGCCCATAATGTTGAACTGTTTTACGTGAACTTTTGACCTACGTGACCTCAGAACCAGGGTAATTTTGGTCACTGTAACATGTGAAGATTTCAAAAGAAACAAAAACTGTGATTAAATCCATTATAAAATATTAGGAGTATTCGTTCCATTGGCAAATTTGGGTAGTTTTTCATAATAAACATTTTTTTCTTGTCAAATATACTCCCAGATATCATAAAACAGCCAATCAATCAACTTTCGGAAGCCAGTATTTTGTTGTCGTGTATCAAGTGAAAAAAATGGACCATGAATGATAGGCCAGGTCTCCTTGCCTTTTTCTTTGTCACGGAAGTTCAATCATGCATAACTTATATTGGAAAAAATGATGATTTTAAAATGATGACTTTTGATGACTGCTTTCTGAATTTAATTAACAAGTGAACTTTAGACCTGCATACGAAAAAATAATCTTACTGAAAAAGTTTGTGATATCAAAAAATAGTTAAGTAAGATATGTTGCTCATTTGAGAGAAAAAAGATCAAACAATAAAAACATTAAACCCTTCAGAAAATATGCACAAAGACACAGACATTTACCATTTTCTTAACACGATTTTAATTGTGCTTTTCCCGTCGAAAAGTCACTTCCGTTCTAAATGATGATTTTACGTAAAATCTGTGCACTTTTTGGGTACTGATTCAGTGACGTCACCAGAAACGAAAGTGTTGACTAGTTTTTGGTACACATGTTTGTTATTTTAGGTAAGCGAACTTGAGGTGGAAAATATTGGATATCTATTAGAAAATATTGGTGGTTCACTAATCACTTTATTGAATAAATTTCATAGTATGATTTAATATCATTGCTACCGAGATACGATTAAAAAGGGGTCCGAAATAACTTGAACTTGTCCCCACGTCCAGTTCCCATGCGCTGCTGTTGCTTTCTTCACCTCGTCTATACTGGGGCGTTCTACGTTAATGTCCTGTATATTCTCAGCTGGTGTAATTTTAACTCATGACTCTGTTTCCTCCATATTGAAAACTCTCTCAAAGCAATCTTTCCAAAACTTCAAAATTTCTTCCTCTTTTAATACCAATTTACTCTGCTGATCTTTGATGGATTGGTTTCTTCATCAGCCAGTAGAGAGTCTGCATATCTTGCTTAGAAGCTGCTGCTTCTGTTTCCTCTACAAGCCTCTCTGTTTATGCTTTCTTGTCTGTTCTTGCACTCTCCTTTACTATACTCTCTGTATTCTGCCTTCAGTTTCGCTTTCACTCTCTCTGATATACAACTCTCTGTATTCTGCCTTCAGTTTCGCTTTCACTTTCTCTGATTTTGTTGAAAGGATTTTCTTCTTCTTTTCTTTCCTACGTTTCACTTTCCTCCGTGTTGAATTAGAAATTCCTTCTTTTTGGACCAGAAAGTTCTTTACCATCTCCATCAATACTTAATTGAAGTTTTGTGTATGAACTTCCTCTTGATGTTCTTCGAGGACAGCAAATCTGTTCCTGATTTCGATCTCGAAAGCCCTCCTTTCTTGTAGGTCCTTCGACCTTTGGGTATGTATAAGAGGTGGTCGTTGATCTTTCCTCTTCGCTCTGTGAAGTTTTAGTCTCCATTTTGCCACTATACCATAGAGTGATAACTCTCCATATCTGCATCATGCCTAGCTACTACATTCACCAGACTTCCTCTCCATCCCTTGTGAATGATATGCTCAATTTGGTTCTAAGCATGGCCATCTAGAGAGTTCCAAGTTGTTTAGTGGCGATCCCTATGCAATGGTCCCACAGATAACTAAGTTGTTCTTCTAGCTAAAAGTACTAAGACGCTCACCGCTCACCGTTGTTGTTGAAGTCATCAAGTCCTTGTTTTGGCATTGTGCTCTATATTCCATTATTGTCTTTCTCTATTTTGGCATTCAGATCGCACATGAGTAGTAGGACGTCATGTGATGTATATCGTCCACTGTCGTCTGAAGACTATCATAGAAAGCATCTTTTTCATCTTCCTCTGCATCTTTTATTGGTGCAAAGCATACTACGGTGGTGAGTTTGGGTAAGGCTAAACTGTATCTTGCTTGATGATCCTTTCACCTGCTTGTTTCCGTTCTAATAAGTACTTGTGTATATCCCTGGATGTAACGAGCAACCCCTAGACACGGAGGACCGGTGGTTTACTGTAGGGGTGTTCTCCCCCTAGACACGGAGGACTGGTGGTTTCTGTAGGGGTGTTCTCCCCCTAGACACGGGGGACCGGTGGTCTTCTGTAGGGGTGTTCTCCCCCTAGACACGGAAGACCGGTGGTTTACTGTAGGGGTGTTCTCCCCCTAGACACGGAGGACCGGTGGTTTACTGTAGGGGTGTTCTCCCCCTAGACACGGAGGACTGGTGGTTTCTGTAGGGGTGTTCTCCCCCTAGACACGGGGGACCGGTGGTCTTCTGTAGGGGTGTTCTCCCCCTAGACACGGAGGACCGGTGGTTTACTGTAGGGGTGTTCTCCCCCTAGACACGGAGGACCGGTGGTTTACTGTAGGGGGGTTCTCCCCCTAGACAGGGGGGACGGGTGGTTTCTGTAGGGGTGTTCTCCCCCTAGACACGGAGGACCGGTGGTTTACTGTAGGGGTGTTCTCCCCCTAGACACGGAGGACCGGTGGTTTACTGTAGGGGTGTTCTCCCCCTAGACACGGAGGACCGGTGGTTTACTGTAGGGGTGTTCTCCCCCTAGACACGGAGGACCGGTGGTTTACTGTAGGGGTGTTTTCCCCCCTAGACACGGAGGACCGGTGGTTTACTGTAGGGGTGTTTCTGTAGGGGTGTTCTCCCCTAACACGGAGGACCGGTGGTTTACTGTAGGGGTGTTCTCCCCCTAGACACGGAGGACCGGTGGTTTACTGTAGGGGTGTTCTTCCCCTAGACACGGAGGACCGGTGGTTTACTGTAGGGGTGTTCTCCCCCTAGACACGGAGGACCGGTGTTTTACTGTAGGGGTGTTCTCCCCCTAGACACGGAGGACCGGTGGTTTACTGTAGGGGTGTTCTCCCCCTAGACACGGAGGACCGGTGGTTTACTGTAGGGGTGTTCTCCTCCCCCTAGACACGGAGGACCGGTGGTTTACTGTAGGGGTGTTCTCCTCCCCCTAGACACGGAGGACCGGTGGTTTACTGTAGGGGTGTTCTCCTCCCCCTAGACACGGAGGACCGGTGGTTTACTGTAGGGGTGTTCTCCCCCTAGACACGGAGGACCGGTGGTTTACTGTAGGGGTGTTCTCCCCCTAGACACGGAGGACCGCTGTTTTACTGTAGGGGTGTTCCCCCCCTAGACACGGAGGACCGGTGGTTTACTGTAGGGGGGTTTACTGTAGGGGTGTTCTCCCCCTAGACACGGAGGACCGGTGTTTTACTGTAGGGGTGTTAGACACGGAGGACCGGTGGTTTACTGTAGGGGTGTTCTCCCCCTAGACACGGAGGACCGGTGTTTTACTGTAGGGGTGTTCTCCCCCTAGACACGGAGGACCGGTGGTTTACTGTAGGGGTGTTCTCCTCCCCCTAGACACGGAGGACCGGTGGTTTACTGTAGGGGTGTTCTCCCCCTAGACACGGAGGACCGGTGGTTTACTGTAGGGGTGTTCTCCTCCCCCTAGACACGGAGGACCGGTGGTTTACTGTAAGGGGTGTTCTCCCCCTAGACACGGAGGGGTGTTCTCCCCCTAGACACGGAGGACCGGTGGTTTACTGTATGGGTGTTCTCCTCCCCCTAGACACGGAGGACCGGTGGTTTACTGTAGGGGTGTTCTCCTCCCAATAGACACGGAGGACCGGTGGTTTACTGTAGGGGTGTTCTCCTCCCCCTAGACACGGAGGACCGGTGGTTTACTGTAGGGGTGTTATCCTCCCCCTAGACACGGAGGACCGGTGGTTTACTGTAGGGGTGTTCTCCCCCTAGACACGGAGGACCGGTGGTTTACTGTAGGGGTGTTCTCCCCCTAGACACGGAGGACCGGTGTTTTACTGTAGGGGTGTTCCCCCCCCCCTAGACACGGAGGACCGGTGTTTTACTGTAGGGGTGTTCTTCCCCTAGACACGGAGGACCGGTGTTTTACTGTAGGGGTGTTCTCCTCCCCCTAGACACGGAGGACCGGTGGTTTACTGTAGGGGTGTTCTCCCCCTAGACACGGAGGACCGGTGGTTTACTGTAGGGGTGTTTTTCCCCCCTAGACACGGAGGACCGGTGGTTTACTGTAGGGGTGTTCTCCCCCTAGACACGGAGGACCGGTGGTTTACTGTAGGGGTGTTTTTCCCCCTAGACACGGAGGACCGGTGGTTTACTGTAGGGGTGTTCTCCCCTTAGCCACGTATTCTAGATATTGAAAGGCGCCGGAGACTAGCCTTTCGCTACTGCCACTAAGCTACTTGGAAGTATTACCAGGGTTACCACGAAGAGAATTAGCATGTGACTTGCTGGCAGAACCTGTTGGAGACAGTGGGCATATGGATGAGTTTTTTTTTAAAAAGAGATACTTAGTGACGTTAATACATTCCCTCAAAGCCCATACCAGCCTTTCACTCCACACTGTCGACATTACTCCATGAATAGATAAGAGCTTGGCTTGCCATAAAAAAAAGACAGATGTAAGTCTAATAGGTTTGATTTTAAACAAATCTATTGATCCTGAAACTGACATTGCCTTTGTCAGAACACACCTGTCAAATATATTTTGCTGTATTCGGCAGTGACGGAATGCAACTGTATTTTAGCACGTGCGTTAATTCGACAGAATTACCTTTGAATTTACTTGAAAATTACGATTCATAACATATATAACTGTTGAAGTATATCAGATGTTGTAATGATCAATTTTATCTATGAAATTAATAAAATCGTTGGCAAATCTGTTGATGTCTGGAACTATATTTCTACGCGGAAGAATTACTTTTGCGTACGTCATCAGGCAAAATTCAGCGTTACGTCAGCATCAGGTAAAACAGAGATTGAACAACAAAGTTTTGTCGTTTTGATGGTCTGATTTTCAATGACTGTTGCAGGATAAATAGAATACATGGTCAGTGTCTTAAAATATAAGCTGCATTTTGACTCGGGACAGCAAGACAAAAGTAGTTCGCCAAAATATTACTAATATGTTAAAACACTGACCAAGTATTCTATATATAAGATGCGTAACAAGAAATTCTTTCATAATATGTTGTTTGTTTGTTTTTTGTTTTGTTTCGTTTTGTTTTTATGAAATGTATATTACGTGTTTTATGTGCCTAGTCAATATCATTAGACAACATAGAATCGATTAATGACAAGCACAAGGGAGTATACATTTTAAAACATCTTTAAAAGTTGACGATGTTTTTGAGCTTCCAACACTTAGAAATTATTTTTTAAAAACGGTGCGAAACTGGACGATGAAATATCCATAATATCCTAATCAGCTTGATGCTATAAAAACACTGTTTATTGTTAAAAGTTATTAAAAAAAAGAATCATCACATACTTCGATACAGTCTATATCGAAATCTGTTATGTAATATGTTAGTCCATGGTAGAGGATTAAAAGTGAAACCTTGATATTTGATAAAGTTAAAACTGGTGAAAGCCTGGTTAATCTATTTCTGGTGATAGAGAGTGGGATCCCCCTCCACAAAAAAAAAAAAAACAAAAAACACTGACTGTGCTTTATGAAACATTAAAAAAAGAATTGTATTGAAATAAATACAAGAAAATAAATCCTTTGATATTTTTCCACAGACCGAAGTTAGATTTGATCAGGTCATGGTACACGCTTATCTACTTTCACCGCCATCTGCAACTATCAAGAACAAGTTTTCTGTGGTTCGCTTTGTCACTCAGCAATATAGCGTGTTTGGTAGAATTTGATTTTTACAATATCTTCGCTTCCCTTTTCGACCATATGGTTTTATATATATGTGTGAGATATACTTTGTTCTATCATAATACCATACCTAATGCTATGTTCTGTCCTTCCAGATAAAAGCAAACATTCCCAATCTGGCCGCACAGATTTGAAAGAATATGTAATTGTTAGTTGAGATGAAAAGTACATTGACCGGAGTAGGGGTCAGAAGAAAAGTTTGTGTTTTCACTTATCTCACACCGCTGTTCTTCTTGATCACGTGGACATTTACTAGATTTGATGATGAGAGTTACGTAATTTCTTTTCCTGCATGAAAGGTCAAAGTTCACTACACGTATCCTCGGGTTGAGGAATTCCAGCTCTCGTAGACGTGTCGTTGGAGACATCAACGTTGTTCTCTACCATTTCACTACTATAATCAAACGCTGCCGCCTTAGAGCTTGATTTCTGTTCTCGGATAATGGGATTGCTTGTATCATCGGCCGATTTTTCAACGTTTCTCGAGGAATTTCTACTATGATAGTGACATTTTTGCTTCATCAAGCTCTTTTCGGTTAAATCGTCCAGTAGCGTAGCACTATGTTAGAGCTTCTACAATCTATGCTGCCTGGAGAATATTTTCTTCTCGAAATGTTTTATAATATTTGGCAACTATGACGTCATTGTATTGATGACTTATCAACATTCAATGACTTGATACTTCTACGGTGTGGGTGTTTGCTATAGACTGGTAACTGATAAATCGAAAGCGATCCATGGGTAATTTATGTCGTTACTATTACACGGTACTGGCTCTTCATTTCAACTTAATCTTTACAAATTTGAATAGATGACATCGACAAATCATATTACTGTTCTATCACTAAAACTGTTAATTGTAGAATTAATGATATAGCTCTATCATATGATTGGCGAATATAACGAACAGATGATACCACGGACTTATAATGATAACCTTAGTACAACCAATAACGGAATCAGTTTCATAACTTCAGGGGTTGCGTCCCTTGAGCTGTCATTTTTTTGGTGATCTCAACATAAAAACACAAATGTCCTTCCAACAATTGTTATTTGTATTTTAAGCGTAAAACTACGGCTTGAACATATAATTAAACAATAGCTAATTACTTAATTATGTATATATATTATATAAGCAGCCCTTTGAATATACGATTTTTTTGGCCGATTTCTTTCGAGTCGGCAATTTACGACAACGTGCAAAGTACATTCTGCTTTGTGGTAAATCAATACGTGGCTCGTGATGTTGTTGCAGAGGCTGGACTCTGATAAAACCAAGATGGAAGTTTCTCAAGTTCTTGCGCTTGTTCTACTGGCTATCCTGCCTTGCGTGCAGGTAAATTGAATATCTCTCTAACGTAACATTACTCCAGTGGCAAAAACCTCTCTCAAAAACACAATCAGTTGCCATAAAAACGCCGGCTTCCTTTGACCAAGCACCATGGAACCGTAATGACCCTACAACGTATAATCCACACCATTTAAAATGTCGGTTAAAAAAAGCATTTTACATACCAGGAAACAACAAGATAAAGAAAAGTTATTACTTAATCACTGAGGTCTTAAATGATATGTTTCTGTTTACTTACCGGTAAAAATAGGGTAGGTCATGGGCAATCTATGGAAACTTTTAAATAGTCTTTATTCAGGCATTGTAATGAAAGAATCTTGACTTTTAACGGTACCTCCTTGACAATCTCACCCCCATTATATCAGCTGCTCTTTTTTTGCGCTGACCAATCAGAACTAGCGAACAGCTTGTGAATTATTTTGTATGTGTTTTAATATGGTTCTACAAATTGAATAATATTATTGTGTTGTGTATATGTAATGGGTGAAGAGATGGGAGATAATTGCTTGGTCTTATCGCTTCATTGCTCACTGGATTAGGTACAATTCAGCATTAAGTATTACTTATGTTAAAACTCTTTTGTATGAAAAGTAGCGAAAAGGGAATAAAAGAAACAGAGAGAGGGACTCGGCACTCTGGACAGATTTGTCTATCGTCATTTGTTACCATACCAAATTCCCCGATCACAATTGATAAGTATGGGTGTCTGCATATTATTTAGCAGTTGATGTTTGAACAACATTGAAGTGTTACACCTCGGTATATTGTTATATATTAATGATTAGTTAAAAAATCAATACTTTGTCATGTCAAGCTGGAGAAATATTAACACAGAAACTTATAATAATGTATCTTCTTAGCACTTATCTTGAACTGAACAGTATTATATGATGAGCTCTAATTGGTCAAAACCCAATTTCTTCCCTGAGAAATTTTTTTTGCAACACTTTGTAACATAAAGCACCAACTGGCTAAGAGAAGCCATATGACTGAACCTCGATCTAGAAAGAGTGGCAGGAGGTACCGACAGGGTGAAACAAAGGGCAATAACTTTGGGTGATCAGAATGGTGTTTAGTAGGTCTTTTCTAAATGTAGATTCCTATCTTAATACTTTTCATCATACCTCCAATGCTATATATATTGTTTTTAATTTTACATACATGAAATGTAATCCATTCATTCATAAATCTTTTGTATTTTCTTAGGGAAGTGATTTAGTCGTAACAAAGAAAGTTTTCTTTGACATCTCAATTGGTGGAGAGCCAGCAGGAAAGATAGTGATTGGTTTGTTTGGAGATGTTGTTCCAAAGACTACAGAAAACTTTGCTCAATTGGCCTCGGGAATCAATGGGTATGGTTTGAAGGGCAGCAACTTCCACCGAGTCATCAAAGATTTTATGATACAAGGTATGTCCCCACACACTGACTGTGGGACTCACTTAAAGACCCACTATGTCTCATATTAATTGGACTCACCCTGCCAACATGTTTTACCTTTAACACAAGCATACCAAGTCCAAATCTTCTACCTATAACAGAAGCAAACCTGGTCTATGTTTTAACAAAAGCAATTCCAACCCAAATTTTACATTTAAATGAAGAAATTCCAGCCCACATTTTAGCTCTAACAGAAAAACAGGTCCACATGATTTACCATTAAGAAAAGAAAATGGTATGAGATTTTTTATTATTTGGTCATTGAAATGCCCAGATATCTGAGTGTAACATATTATTTGGTCATTGAAATGCCCAGATATCTGAGTGTAACATATTATTTGGTCATTGAAATGCCCAGATATCCGAGTGTAACATATTATTTGGTCATTGAAATGCCCAGATATCTGAGTGTAACATATTATTTGGTCATTGAAATGCCCAGATATCTGAGTGTAACATATTATTTGGCTGTAATATAATTCTTGAATTTATTTTTAATGTTAACTGCTATTTACTTGTCATGCATGTTGTTTTTTTTTTCAATCTTGCACAATACAGTTTTTGATTCACCAGACAAACATATACAAGCTTTCTTTGTGGTAAATACTGAGATTAACTGTTGTTGGCTACAGGTGGCGACTTTACTAACGCTGATGGCACTGGTGGTAAAAGTATCTATGGGGAGAGGTTTGAGGATGAAAACTTTGATATCAAGCACTATGGATCAGGATGGGTCAGCATGGCAAATGCTGGTAAGTTATTTATGTTCAAAGAAGATAAAAGATATTGCCTCCTGTTGGATGCTGTTTGTCATATAATTGATTTTCACATTTCAACATTTTGATCTGGCAATAAATTTCTTTGCGTAAAATCTAATTTTGAAAGCCCATGAAATTGAAAAAAAAACCAAAAACACTGAAGTGTCTTGTAATCATTTTGTAAATCTAATAATCAGCTGACTTTTGTACCTGCACACAATCAGAGTTACTTCCTCTTATTCGAGGAAATACACTTTGGTGTTGTGATAATTACTTTCTTTGCACACTGTTTAATTAAAGTGTCATGCTGGTTTCTATGACATACAGATGTATTCTTGAGTCTGGTGTACAATTATTGTTGAGGAGAGGTATTTCAACATGAGGGTGGGGGATGGAGAGGGGATGTTCCAATGACACATAGAATGGTGAATATTTGGGGGAGGCTCCAATGACACATAGAATGGTGAATATTTGGGGGAGGCTCCAATGACACATAGAATGGTGAATATTTTGGGGAGGCTCCAATGACACATAGAATGGTGAATATTTGGGGGAGACTCCAATGACACATAGAATGCTGAATATTTGGGGGAGACTCCAATGACACATAGAATGCTGAATATTTTGGGGAGGCTCCAATGACACATAGAATGGTGAATATTTGGGGGAGACTCCAATGACACATAGAACTTTGAATACTTTGTGGAGTTTCCAGTGACACATAAAACAATGGATACTTTTGGGAGGTTCCAACAACATGTAGGATCATGAAGCAAGGCAAATGCAAGTGTAATTCAATATTTTAAAACTACTTTACAAATATTTTTGTTTCAGGTCGAAACACAAATGGTTCTCAGTTTTTCATCACCCTAATCCAGACAGAATGGCTAGATGGTAAACATGTAGTGTTTGGTAAAGTATTAGAGGGTATGAATGTTGTACGTGCAATTGAGGCCCAGCCCACTGACTCAATGGATCGACCATTAGACAAAGCAGTCATCACTGACTGTGGGGTTATAGACAATGACCCACGCATCACTGTGGAGAAAACTCATGCAGAGGAATAAGTCAATTTCAGGATGATATCTGTAACTTAAGAGTGTGCTAGGGTTCAGGTTTCGTGTAATTTTTCTATTTACTTTTTAAGTATATTGACATTTTGTAAAGATGTTTATCAGTCAAAGATCAAATATGAAATATATTTACATACACCACCGGGTTGTTGACCGTACTGAAATTCAGTTAAGAAGAAATATATAGGAATTATTTGCTGTCGCACTTAATATGTTTCGCAAAGGATAAGTGATATTTAGATAATCTTATTGGCGATGAGGTATGACAGTGTTTTTGGTTTGATAGCTATGCTTCAGAGGTATAAAATGTTTAACATGTACATATGAATGGGTTACAGTTATAGTATGTTATCAGAGCCAGTCTTGTATAATATGGAAGCTTATTTTATTAGAAGATGTATGTGTCTGTTTCATGAAGGATCTGAAAAGTGTATGTAATGTTGGATGAATGAGAGAGCAGAAGCCCCAGCAATTTAGGTTGATTATTTTCAAGTGATAACCATGACAGTCACAACAAGTCTTTCTATACCTAAAATATAAATGTTATTTTGTCGGTATCAAAATTTGTTATTGGAGTTATCACCCATTGTATGCAAAATTGTGTCCGTCCATAACAAATGTGGATTTTTTACACGAGAATGGTACAGTGTTTGATTTGCTTGAAAAATATCTAGGATTTTTATTTGACCACTGATCTGAATTGATATTGTGTTCTTTATACTTGCCATGGACTACAATGATAAGAATTTTGAATGAGAATTGCATTTGTGAAAATATGTTTTAAATGATTTTTTAAGGAAGATTAAGTAGAATGTGTAAACAATTTTCATGAAATAAAAGTTGACAGTTTTCTATGCATACTGGTTTATATTTTAGCCAGGTCAAGATATGTGTAAATTCCTGCTCAAGTATGGCATTCTTCTAGCTGGGGTAAAGGGTGATGAAGCTTGTTTACATCTGTTTCCTTGAGAAATAATTTTCAGTGTGTTGTTTTCAGATATTATAGGGACTCCAAGCTTTGACTTTTGATAAATGAATGACCTCAATGCACTTTCATGTATTAACATTTGTCTTTCAATGTACATAAATTGTAAATACCGTATTTATTCCAATAAATGCCTCGAGGGCGTGAAATTTTTCAGACGGGGGGCGATTAATAGAACACAAAATTTCATAATTTGTTGGTCGTGACATGCCATGGCTGCCACTTAAATACATTGTTTAATAAACTAACGAATTACTCGGCAAAGAATGCATTTGAAAATTGCAGTAATTCCAACATCGTTGTAGCTTTAAACATTGTTGTCAATTGTATTCTGATAACCTGAGTTCTTGTATGAAATGACACAATGTCAATCGTGTCAGCTTCAGTCAAAAACGTACAATGTTCATCATCGCTTGTAGGCCTAGTTTGCATAACAAAATAAAAAAAACACAGCGGTATATAAGCCAGTCTGTTTCTTAATAAATCCCACATAGCTGATAACAATGTCTGGGACAAAACAAAATTACGACACTGCTTTCAACCGGTGTGGTTGGCATGCCTGGAAAATCGACATTGGCAATAAAGGGGGAAAAGGAGGTCAGAGTTTACAGTACTGGCCACGAAAAACAAAAAATAACGGTGACACTGGCAGCATATGCCGATGGGACCTTGTGCACATGCCAGGCATTCGTCCCCTTCCGAAAGATGACATACCAAGTGGTATAGTGGTATACATGTGCGGGGCCGGACAAAAATCCTGGGCAAACGAGGAAAGTATAAAATTTTGGTTAAAAAAACTCTGGGGTGTGAATAATACAGCTAGGCAGTTATTAGTATGGGACGCTTTCCGTAGTCATTTTACTGAAGATGTAAAAAAACTGGTTCGTCAAAAATGTAATTCAGACATCTGTGTTATACCCGGAGGATGTACATGTAAGCTACAGCCAGCCGATGTGTCGTGGAATAAACCCTTCAAACAAAAACTTGGAGAGTTGTATAACGAATGGTGTTTCAGTGGCCCCATTGAGAAAACCAAAGCAGGGAATCGTAAAGCCCCATCTAAAGCTGTAATGTTGTCTTGGGCCAAGACAGCATGGGATAGCATTAGCCCGGACACAATCAGAAGATCGTTCAAAAAATGCGGTATCACAAAATCGCTGGACGGTAGCGAGGATCATATTTTCCAGCATGATTCTGACGATGAGGAATTCCAGGGGTTTAGTGAAAAGGATGTCCAAGCTGCAGATGACGTTTTGCAAAATTTAATGGGTGATGTGAACGCGCCTTCTATTCCACAAATAGAACTGAGTGAAAGCGAGACTGGCGAAAGTGAAAGTGAAAGTGAAGACAGTAGTTCGTACGGCAGTCCCGGCCGTTAGGTCTGCAGTATATTGAAATGAACCGTGGATTAAATTGATATTACTTGTGTACATGTCGTGACAGTGTAATTTTCTTGTGCCAAAATTCATTTGTTCATGTTCATGGATACCAGGAATTTAAAATTTATTAAAAGGTAAGCTTTGTAACCTGACTCCTGAGTTGTTGAAATTTACTGAGAAAACAGGTAGGGGGCATTTAGTAGAGACGGGGCGTATTGGAATAAATACGGTATTTCCTAGTCAGCCAAATATGCATAATAACACATACTGAAGATTATTACAGCCCTGTCACTTTACAGGGGACCGTATACACTGTAGTGTTTCTAGTATCTATTTGTCCCCTCCTGCAGCATCCTGCACCAAATCAGTGTCACATCATGAGAACCTTTCAACACTATTGTTTTATATTAACTCCACAGTAACTTCATATGAAGTTCTATAACTCATCAGAATAAAATGGTTCAGGTCATAGGCCACATTTGATCTCTTCTACAAATTCAGCAAATATACCTATAACCATGTAAGTGTTGGCAATCCATGTCTTACAGACATTTCCTAGCTTTTGTAAACTGTTTGTCTTAAAGTAAAATTTGATATATATAGCTGGAATAGATAAGGTCTGCCAGTGTCCATGCAATAATTCACGAACCACCTAACAACCATGAGGCTCTCAGCTTTGTCACAAAAACCTAATGCGGAAAGCAAGACTTGGTCATATGGCCTTGAGCCTTGTCACACAACCACAATCCTGTAAGCCAGATATATAACCATAGGGCCTCAAGCTTTGTCACACAACTACAATCCTGTAAGCCAGATATGTAAAGATAGGGCCTCAAGCTTTGTCACAAAACCGCAATCCATGAGCTAGACACACAACATGAAGACCTCCATTTTCATCTAAAAGTCTAAACCCCATAAGCTGGAATGATACAATAATGCCTCAAGCCTTGTCACACAATCATAATTCTGTAAGCCAGACATGCAATCATTAGGCATCAATCCATGTCAAACCATGAAGCTGCAAGCGTTGTCACACAACTAAAATCTTGAGAGTTAGACACAACAATAAAGCTGCGAGCCTTGTCACACAACCATGAAGCTGTGACCCTTGTCACATAACCATGAAGCTGTGACCCTTGTCACATAACAAATCCTTAAAGCTAGACACAACCATGAAGCTGCGAGCCTTGTCACACAACCATGAAGCTGTGACCCTTGTCACATAACCAAAATCCTGAAAGCTAGACACAACCATAAAGCTGTGAGCTTTGTCACACAACCATGAAGATGAGAGCTTTGTCACACAACCATGAAGCTGCGAGCATTGTCACACAACCATGAAGCTGTGAGCCTTGTCACACAACCATGAAGCTGCAAGCCTTGTCACACAACCATGAAGCTGCGAGCCTTGTCACACAGCCATGAATCTGTGAGCTTTGTCACACAACCATGAATCTGTGAGCTTTGTCACACAACCATGAAGCTGTGAGCCTTGTCACACAACCATGAATTTGTGAGCCTTGCCACACAACCATGAAGCTGTAAGCCTTGTCACACAACCATAAGGCCCCAAGCCTTGTCACAACCACAATCCCATATACTGGGTATTTGCCATGAGACCAATAGCCTTGTCCCTTAACGACAATCCCATAAGCTAGACATGCTACCATGAGGCTCATAGCCTTATCACTAAGCCACAATCCCATGAGCTGGACATGTTACCCTGAGGCCCATAGCCTTATCACTAAGCCACAATCCCATGAGCTGGACATGTTACCCTGAGGCCCATAGCCTTATCACTAAGCCACAATCCCATGAGCTAGACATGCTACCCTGAGGCCCATAGCCTTATCACTAAGCCACAATCCCATGAGCTAGACATGCTACCATGATGCACATAGCATTATCACTAAGCCACAATCCCATGAGCTAGACATGCTACCCTGAGGCCCATAGCCTTATCACTAAGCCACAATCCCATGAGCTAGACATGCTACCCTGAGGCCCATAGCCTTATCACTAAGCCACAATCCCATGAGCTAGACATGCTACCCTGAGGCCCATAGCCTTATCACTAAGCCACAATCCCATGAGCTAGACATGCTACCATGATGCACATAGCATTATCACTAAGCCACAATCCCATGAGCTAGACATGCTACCCTGAGGCCCATAGCCTTATCACTAAGCCACAATCCCATGAGCTAGACATGCTACCCTGAGGCCAATAGCCTTATCACTAAGCCACAATCCCATGAGCTGGACATGTTACCCTGAGGCCCATAGCCTTATCACTAAGCCACAATCCCATGAGCTGGACATGTTACCCTGAGGCCCATAGCCTTATCACTAAGCCACAATCCCATGAGCTAGACATGCTACCCTGAGGCCCATAGCCTTATCACTAAGCCACAATCCCATGAGCTAGACATGCTACCATGATGCACATAGCATTATCACTAAGCCACAATCCCATGAGCTAGACATGCTACCCTGAGGCCCATAGCCTTATCACTAAGCCACAATCCCATGAGCTAGACATGCTACCCTGAGGCCAATAGCCTTATCACTAAGCCACAATCCCATGAGCTGGACATGTTACCCTGAGGCCCATAGCCTTATCACTAAGCCACAATCCCATGAGCTGGACATGTTACCCTGAGGCCCATAGCCTTATCACTAAGCCACAATCCCATGAGCTGGACATGTTACCCTGAGGCCCATAGCCTTATCACTAAGCCACAATCCCATGAGCTAGACATGCTACCCTGAGGCCCATAGCCTTATCGAAACACAATCTGGTAATGTAGATATGTAGACGTGAGGATCATAGCCTTGTCACAACCACAATCCCATAAGCTAGCTATTCTACTATGAGGCCCCAAACCATGTCACAACCACAATCTGTAGTATAGCCAAGCATTCATGAGGCTGAAAGCCTTGACACACAACCACTATTCCAAAAGCTAGAATGCTACCGTGAGGCACAGAGCCATGCCACAATCACGTAAATTAGATATTCTACCATGAAGTGCACAATCTTATTAGTTAGATATGCTTCCATGAGTTTGCGAGCCTTTTCATACCATGACAGTCCTGTAAGATAAACTTCAAACCATGAGGCCCTGAACAGTGAACTACAATGCTGAAGTCTAGACACACAACCATAAGAGCAAGATACTTTACCCATAACCATAAGACTCTGAACTTTGGTGTGAAGCCAACAGATTTTAAACTCCATTGTTCGGAAGCTTAATGCACACTTTACTGTGAGGCTTGGGGCTTTGACATACAATTATAAGACCTCAGAGCTTTGACAAACAATTACAAGACCTCAGAGCTTTGACACTTCACTGTGAGGCTTGGGGCTTTGACAAACAACTACAAGACATCAGAGCTTTGACACTTCACTTTGAGGCTTGGGGCTTTGACAAACAACTACAAGACATCAGAGCTTTGACATACAACTACAAGACATCAGAGCT